ACAATTTAGTACAATAAAGGCATGGAAATAAGGACCAGTATCAGCAAAGAAGATGAAAGCACTAGAACAGGGATGAAGCATGGCAGGCTGCAACTCACCACTTTCAGGAGACAAAACTCCACGAGAGAGGAAACCTGGAGCTGAAATCCACTACATTTTATAACAGCTGGTCAAAATACAGCTTGTCAGTTGTTTCAAATGGGCTCACTCTTGGCTGGGCAAAACCAAAGAGCACCAATGTGTGTCACTGGTCATTTCAATCTGCTCACCATTGATCCCCTCTTCTGCTCCACTCTCGTTCTCAGATCACTCCAGCTCTGCCCACTGAAGGTCCGAACTACCACCTCATTCTGGTGAAGGATTTGAGGTGGGACAAATGGAATCCATATCTGCACCTCCTGGCAAAAAAACATTCCTGTGAGACACGAGTAGAAAGGATAAAACAAAGCCCAGCTCTACTTCCTGTGCAAACAAGAAGGGGGAAGGTGAAGCACAACCCGTATGCAGGGAGTGCAGGAATCTGCTCTACCCGGCAGTCTCTGGAGAGGTGACAGGAGATGTCAGGTCTGCTTTGGAGTGAGGCAGCAGGAAAATTTCAGCAGCTTCTGGGCAGAAGGGGCAAAGCAACTTCTGCAGTGAGCTGCTGTTAGCCATGACGGGGCTGGGGGTGTAACTACTCGCCAGCTTGAATGAAAACCACACAATCAGACACTTATAGAAGGATGCAAACCATTCTCTTTGCAAGCTAAGGCCAGATACTGGAACAGCACTTATCCTCTGGCGCAGCAGGAGGGTTGTGAGAGAGAAAGGTTACAGCTCAGCTGAATGAGGAGCAGTGGGGAAGGCAAAGGCACCAGGCCAGCACAGCACCAGAGAAGCTGGCTGTGTCCTTTCTGAGTCTTTGCAGTGGCGCTTCTTTGAAAGGCAGTCCTGTAGATATTTAAAAGCAGCAGTTATGGGGGTAGGTGTCTCAAAAGTCCCAAAAGGCTCTCTCAGAAGGCCCTGATGAGCTGCTGCAAAGGCAGATTTATCAGGAGGTGACCTAGATGTGTCCTCACCTGCTGGAATTTGATCCCATGAGGCCGCAGCTCCAGGACCCTACTCAGCAAGACATCGTGGTGTCTAAGCTTTACCCACTGAGGGTCCGGTTCGAGGATTCGGAAGCTGATCCGCAGAGTATCAGAGGCAGCCCCCGGTGGAAAGCAGAAATGGATGCCATAGGGCAGGACCACTTCGCAGCCTTCAGAGGTGACAAGAAAGCTTCTAAAAGAAATGCATGAATGTATGACACTATGCAATGACTTCAGCCCTCCAAAACTCAACAGAAGAATCTCATACTTGTGTTTGACTGGCCTACTGAGGCTATAAGCCTACACATTCCTGCAATGCAATACCCACCTTGCACCAATCTTGTTTGGGACCTTGTCACACCACAGTAATATAAGTTCTTCATAACAGAGGCTTACCTGTTCTTTCCCGATCTACAGGAGAGTCTTCTTAGCCCTCTGGCACTGGATTCATCTGTGGCAATAAGAATCATAGAATCATAAAATTAACTGGGTTGGAAGAGACCTTTGAGATCATCAAGTCCAACCCTTGATCCAACCCCATTGTGATTACTAGATCATGGCACTCAGTGCCACATCCAGTCTCATCTTAAAAACCTCCAGGGACGGTGAATCCACCACCTCTCTGGGCAGGCCATTCCAATGCCTGATCACTCTCTCTGTAAAGAACTTCTTTCTAATATCCAACCTAAACCTCCCCTGACAGAGCTTAAGCCTGTGCCCTCTTGTCCTATTGCTGATTGCCTGGGAGAAGAGACCGACCCCCATTTGGCAACAACCTCCCTTCAGGTAGTTGTAGAGAGTGATGAGGTCACCCCTGAGCCTCCTCTTCTCCAGACTAAACAACCCCAGCTCCCTCAGCCTCTCCTCACAGGACTTCTGCTCAAGTCCCTTCACCATCCTGGTTGCTGTTTTCTGGACCTGCTCCAGCACCTCAATATCCTTCCTGAACTGAGGGGCCCAGAGCTGAACACAATACTCAAGGTGTGGCCTCACCAATGCAGAGTACAGGGAAGGATCACTTCCCTGCTCCTGCTGGCCACACTGTTCCTGATCCAGGCCAGGATGCCATTGGCCTTCTTGGCCACCTGGGCACACTGCTGGCTCATGTTCAGCCTCCTGTCGATCCAAACTCCCAGGTCCCTTTCTGCCTGGCTGCTCTCCAGCCACTCTGTGCCCAGCCTGTAGTGCTGCAGGGGGTTGTTGTGGCCAAAGTGCAGGACCCGGCACTTGGCCTTGTTGAACTTCATCCCATTGGAGTCAGCCCATCTCTCCAGTCTATCCAGATCCCTCTGCAGAGCCCTCCTGCCTTCCGGCAGGTCG